CTCCCCTGCAGAAAACTAGATCAGTCGGCGATGGCAAACCAACTGTCGGTACGGATTGTGAATCCCTTACCTCATGTACGAGAGGAGTCCACACACACACACACACACACGCACACACACACACCCACACACACACACACAACAGAACGAAGGAAAGCAGCTGACAAGTGCTGTCCAGGTTCACTAGCACTGACAACACCGTCGACACCGTAAAGGCTGACGGGCAGCAAGCCTGTCGTACATAGCCAATGGTCGCAGTAGGCAACGGGCCTTGATCCACCTGAGCTCCAAGCTCCGAGACCTCGCCTTACCAACTCTGACATTGGCACCAACTAGCCAGCTTAGCTGGTGTATGTCACGTCGTTTCTGCATCTGTGGCAGATGCATTCTGCATGGCACGTTATGTGCCTCATGCCCCACATTTTCATGCTCTCGGATGCTGTGCACCTGGTGCTGGCCTTTGCCCTGGTGCCGGACATGCCCCTCCTGCGATGATGTGCAATGCAACAACTGAGGTGGCTGCGTGGATGTTGGCTATCTGCCCAGCCTTGGACAGTGCACGAACGTGGCGTCAGGAACATGCCACTCGCACTGCCGGCCTCTTCAAAGAGGTGCTTCAGCTGGTGCCCTTCCACACCAGGCGGAAGGTTTCGCACGAAGATCTGGGCAACCACATGCTGCAGATGGCGCTTGGTATATTGCATGCACATCACATTTCCCAGTTCAATAAAACTGCGACACCCCCAGTGCAAGCAGCAAACAAAGCAAATCGTGCCCCATGCCTAGTCCTGACACATGAAGCTCCATGAAACAAGTTCCGAATCTCAACGACTGAGGCCAAAGCCGCCGAGCCCACTGTCTGAGGTCCCTCAAACTGGTCGTGTTCCCAACTGCCAGGATTTGAAGTCCACAAGAAGTTGCCACCAACATGCTTAACACATGGCGGCAATACTCTGGCTCGTCCCAATCGTACTGTGAGTATCTTGGAAAACCGTTGTAGTCGGCACTTAGTACCGGCAGTCTCAGAAGACATCACCACACCAGCTGCTCCGACCGAAGAACTGGGTGACGAACTCGGCCTCGACCAAGAGCTCGTAAGGACCATCACGCCTGCCGACATACTCCTGGTTCCCGATAATCTGAATTCTCAAAGGCTTAGTGACCTGGGCACCGGACCTACCGCGAACTTGTCGAATAGGACCACCTGCCTGCTCCTGCCATTCATGTTTGCAATTCTGCGACGGCGAGGATCATCCCACAACATCCCACAACATCCGACTCTCAGGGCACCTCCACGTCAAACGCTCGAGCGAATGCAGACGCTCTTGGATTGCTACCTGCGGGTACAGGTTTTGCATCCAAGACTGTAAAACCTGGTGTTGTTGCACATACTTTCTCCGCTCCTGGCCTGCAGAGAAACTGCCGCCACTCAGGCTGAAGGAGCCTCTTCGCAGAGAGAAATGCTCCTAAACGCAACCTGCGAGAGCCGAGAGTTTGCCTCCGCTTGGAGAGCCTCCCACCGAACCTGGCCAAGCGACAGAGGCCCTGACGAGTGAGCAATGCCGATCAACAGCGCACCTCCGTACATGCGAGATCCTCGGCCTCGGACCTATGATCAACGGATATCGCAGCGTGTCTAAGGGTCTGGTATCGCTTGCGTATTTATCTACACATACACATGTGGAGACACGCACATACATACATTCGTATCTAAACACACTTAGACAGCAGCATTTCTCATGCAGTCCTCACGGGTAAGACCCCAACAGTTGCATCGACCGCTGGCTCCTTCAGGTCTGAGGAAAGATGGCACCATGTGCAACGCAGCAAGAGTTGCACAGGCCTCGCTAGAACAAACCGCATGTGTGCATGCAAGTCCGCACAACCATATACAAATACACATACACATACACATACACATACACATACATATACCCCTGCCATGCACATACACATACACATACACATACACATACACATACACATACACATACCCACACCTATACCGGTACCTATACAATGCATGTACGTATACGTAAAGGTTTACGTATACGCCTGCGCTGCGAATATATAAACATATATACACACTTCTACATACATGAACATATAAAAATATATACATATACATATACATATACATATACATATACATATACATATACGTGTACATATGCCTATGCATGTGCGTATACATATACATATACATACACATACACATACACATACACATACACATACATATACATATACATATACATATACATATACATATACATATACATATACTACATATACAT